GGACACAGGGAATGGCTCCCACTGCCAGAGGGCAGGGATGGATGGGAGATTGGGAATTGTTCCTGGCAGGGTGGGCAGGGGCTGGGCTGGAATTCCAGAGCAGCTGTGGCTGCCCCTGGATCCCTGGCAGTGCCCAAGGCCAGGCTGGACACTGGGGCTGGAGCACCTGGGACAGTGGGAGGTGTCCCTGCCAGGGCAGGGTGGCACTGGGTGGGTTTGAGGTCCCTTCCCCCCAGCCCATTCTGGGATTTCATCACAGAAATAATTTGGAAACCTTGGTGACATCTGGGCGGGTTCCACCCCTGAAGCAGTTCAGTATCTGGGAGCATTCCAAGCAGCTCCTCGATGGCAATTCTGGATTTTGCAGCCCAGGACTTTCACCTGGCAGAGTGAGCCTTGCACAGGGCAGCTTTTAGGGGGATTCTCTGCAGTCCTGACATTTTGAACCATTTTAACCATATTTAACTATTCCACTGCAACCCGCATTGGGTTTGGTTTTTTCCTCAAATCTTTGATTACATGTTGTGTTTTCCCCTTTTTTCCTCCTCAAAATGATGGCTGGACATGATGTTCTTAGAGCTCTTTTCCAGCCTTAATGATTCCATAACTCCATGGTTTGGCTGTTCTGGCTGTGTGTGATTTTCCAGGCACAAGTTGCTTCATCCTTCTGATTACAGGGGGAAGAACAGGAGAAGGAAAGAATGGGAATTTAGTTTCTCTGGTTTTCCTGCCAGGCTGAAATTCCTGAGCCCGTGAGGCAGAGAGGGGGGTTTGGGGCAGGGAAGGCTGAGGATTCTCAGTGAGAGTGGAGCTTAATCACCCTCATAAGCACATCTTAATTTTTCGATGGATTTCTCATAAAAACCAATTATTATACCAATTATATAAAGAAGAGCAAGAATCTGTTTCCTGTGTCCTGGCAGTGATTTCCAGCTATTCCCCACGCTGATGAAATCAATTTTATCCTGTCCCTCAGAGGAACCCAGGGCTCCCCTGCTGTTGCAGCCATCCAGCAGTCAGCTCAGCCCGGGAGGGTCCCCAGGGTGTCAGGGCAGCACTCGGGGCTCGGGAGGGAGGGGACAGCCACCCCCAGGGCCTGGGCAGCTCCTGCTGCTGCCAGGGTGTGCTGCTGGAGGGAAACGTGGAATTCATTGTGGAGCTCATTGTGGAATCCCTTGTGGAATTCTGGAATTCACTGTGGAATTCATTGTGGAGCTCATTGTGGATTTCGTAGATTTCATTGTGGAGTTCACTGTGGAGTTCATTGTGGAATTCATTGTAGAATTCATTGTGGAGTTCATTGTGGATTTCGTGGATTTCATTGTGGAATTCACTGTGGAATTCATTGTGGAATTGGTTGTGGATTTCATTGTGGAATTCATTGTGGATTTCACTATGGAATTCCTTGTGGATTTAATTGTGGAATTCACCATGGAATTCACTGTGGAATCCACTGTGGAATTCTTTGTGGATTTCATTGTGGAATTTGCTGTGGAATTCACTGTGGATTTCATTGTGGAATTCATTGTGGATTTCACTATGGAATTCCTTGTGGATTTAATTGTGGAATTCACCATGGAATTCACTGTGGAATCCACTGTGGAATTCTTTGTGGATTTCATTGTGGAATTCACCATGGAATTCACTATGGAATTCACTGTGGAATTCATTGTGGAATTCCCTGTAGAATTCCCTGTGGAACTGTGGGGGCTGTCAGCCCAGCCAGGCCTCCTGAGTCACATCCCTGACAAACACCTCCAACCCCCCCTCCCAACACACTGGGCTGCATTCAGCATTTAGCAAGGGCTCTCCACCTGCTTTAATCCTGTAAATCCTGGAACCAGGTGAGCTCAGGTTCCTCCTGAGCTTCTCTCCCCATGGCTGAACCTCCCTGGTTCCCTCAGTCTTCCTCCTGCAGCTGCTCCCCAGGCCTGTGGTCACACACCTTGTCCAAAAAGGGAAGGTTCAAATTAAAAACATTGTGCAAAAAGGGAAGGGTTTGCTTTAAAACATTAACATTAAATTCATGTTTTAATTTAACATTACAAGGAAAAAGGCAGATGACTGCAAAGCACTTTCCATGTTGGACCCCTGCACCAAATTTACTTGGGAGTTTAATTCCTCTTTCCTCCTTATTATTATCTCATTTCTCTGGCCTTCCGCTAATCCATTTTCTGAATAAATGTTTATTTGCTGCTTTATTTAATTTTTCCCCTGACCTTCACAGCTCCACGTGATCTGGGTGGGAGGCATGAGCTGCTGAAGTGGGGAGCAGCTCTGTGATGGGTTTAATGTGCACTCCAGGCTCAGCAGAGCAGATTTTAAATGCCAAATCTGCTCCTAGATCAGAGTCTTTAGAGGTGTGGGAAGAAATACGGATGCAAAACAAACATATTTTAATTCCTAATAAATATTAACATTCCATTGTGATGCTGCACATATATTTGAGACATAATTAATAAATTCCACAGATTTTAGTGATCTGAATGTAATGATCCCTATCAGCCAGCAAATAGCAGAAAAATTAGCAGCATACTGATACAGCAGAAATCCTGATTTGTCTCAAACTGTGAGGCTCCAGAAATGCAATGGGAGCCAATTTCTGTCCCTGGCAGGACGACGTTCCTGGGAAATCAGTGCCAGCAATAACATCCACGGTTTGCCATGAGCCCCAGATCACTTCTGTCGTTTGACAGGATTACACTGGGCAGCAGGGCTGCAGCTCTCTGCTTATTTGGGGGTTATTTTAATTAATGGACCTCGCAGATTCATTTCTTTTCTAATTCTATTTTGGAAATGCATCGATGCTGTGACCTGCCCAGTGTCATTGTAACGAGACGTACAGACATCTTCAACGAGGTTTGATTTAATTTCCTCCCTGTAAAGCCCAGATTAAAGGAGAGCCCAGTCAATTAGGAATGGAACAAAGCTTGTACTTAAGAGGAAATCACTTAATCTGCACTCTCTAAATCTGGAAAATTCTCCACCTTCTACCATGTCACAGCTCCAATCTCCCCTCAGAAAGACTGGAAAGTTCCTGGTGGGAAGCCCCAAAATGCAACAAAAGCCTGCACATTTTTGTGGGTCAGATCTCTGTGGCTTCAGCACAACCTGGGGAGGGTTTGTGCCCCTCTGACAGCCTGGGCTGGGCTGGAGCCCCTCTGGAGCCAGGCTGGGAGAGCTGGGGGGGCTCCCCTGGACAGGAGAAGGATCCAGGGAGAGCTCAGAGCCCCTGGCAGGGCCTGGAGGGGCTCCAGGAGAGCTGCAGAGGGACTGGGGACAAGGATGGAGGGACAGCACACAGGGAATGGCTTCAGAGTAGGATTTGATGGGATATTGGGAATGAGGAATTGTTCCCTGGGAAGGTGGGCAGGGGCTGGGCTGGAATTGCCAGAGCAGCTGTGGCTGCCCCTGGATCCCTGGCAGTGCCCAAGGCCAGGCTGGACACTGGGGCTGGAGCACCTGGGACAGGGGAAGTTGTCCCTGCCATGCCAGGGGTGGCACTGGGAGGGCTTTGAGGTTCCCCCAGCCCAGGCTGGGGTTGCCCAGCTCCAGCAGTGCCAGGCAGCTGCTGCATGCAGTGCTGCCAGCTGGGGTTGGGCTCTGCCATCCCAAGGCTCCAAACAGCTGCAGGAGCAGAGCTGATGGTGTTGGTTCATCCTTTGGTGGAGGTGTTCAACGCTGGGATTCACAGGAAGGAGCACAAAGAACGTTTGGAGGAGCAAACTCCCCCTGTGTGCTCAAAGCTGAGTCCAGCTGTGCCAGCCCCTGGGGCAGCCCCATCAGGGGAGGTGTGACATGGAAGGAGCTGCTCAGGATCCCTCAGGGGGGCTCAGGAATGTTCTGGAAGGTGTTTTGCTGACTCCAGCTCCGGCCAGAGCTGCAGGAGCAGTGGCACAGGTGGGCTGGACATTAATTCCAGCCTGGGGGAAAGGGGCAGTGGAACTGCTGAGAGCAGCATCTCCTCTGCCCCCGTGCCTCCTTAGGGAATTGGGGAAAACACCAAATCAGCACTGGGAGCTGGGGATGCAGCCCAAAATCCCGAGTCCTGGAGGTGTTTGGGATCTGGGGCAGGGGACTGGGGTCAGCCCTGCCCTCGCCTCTGCCCAAGGACAGAGTTTCTCTGCTAATTAGAATTATTCCCCACAGACTTTCGGTGCTTTGCTCACACGTGCACCTGGAATGAGAATCCCCAGCTTGCTGAAGTGTGTCTGACCCCGGCTCCTTCCAGTCTGTGCTCAGGGAAGGGAACAGCAGCAGGGGAGATCCCACAGCACCCCGCAGGCTGTGCCCAGGGGAGCTCTGATTGCAGCCCCTGAGGGGAGGCACAGCCACAGCCACGGGCTCAGGCAGAGGGACCGGGGCAAACCAGGGAGAGAAAAGCCCCAGCTGGACAGGCACTTGGGTCAGGGGAATGGACGAGCCCCAGAGCAAGAGGAAACAATAAAATAAACGTGTTTAGTCCTCTCTGTGAACAGCTCGGATTCTCCAGGTGCACAAAGAGTAGCTGGAACAGCGCCAGCACGGCCAGGGGGACTGGGGCAAAACCAGGGAGAGAAAAGCCCCAGCTGGACAGGCACTTGGGTCAGGGGAATGGACGAGCCCCAGAGCAAGAGGAAACAATAAAATAAACGTGTTTAGTCCTCTCTGTGAACAGCTCGGATTCTCCAGGTGCACAAAGAGTAGCTGGAACAGCACCATTAATTTTCAAAAGTACCAGAAAAACCCAGTTTTTTCTTCTTTGCAAACTGTCAGGAGCAGGCTCAGCCTCCCCTGCAGCAGGAGCATCCATCTCCGGCAGCTCTCCTGCAGCTCCTGCTCTGCACTCACAGGGAATTCTGCTTGTGTTTGTGGGGTGTGGAATGCAGGCTGAGCCCTGGGCTGCATGGAGGGGGCTGTGCTGCCCTGGAGGAGGCTCTGCAGTGTCCCTCGGCCCCTGTGTGTGCCGTGTCCCTGCTGTGGCCCCGAGCCCCCTGACACCCCTGTCCCTGTCGTTGCAGTCTCTCCCAAGATATTCCGGATCTCCAGCGACATCGTGGTCAACGAGGGCAGCAACGTCACCCTGGTGTGCCTGGCCACGGGGAAACCTGAGCCCTCCATCTCCTGGAGACACATCTCTCCCTCCGGTGAGTGCCTGGCACAGGGACAGCAGCTGTGCCCAGCCCTGCCACCCGGGCACCCACGGGCTGGGGCAGGGGGCTGGCGTGGGCCGGGGGGCTCCTGGGACAGCTGGCAGGGCACAGGGGAAAAGTGGGGAATCACTGAAAGGCCTCAAAGGACACACCTGGGCAGTGCAACAGCCTGGCCAGGGCTATGCCAAGATGGAAAATGGATCAGGAGTTGTCACCCTTTGATCAGTTTTGGTCCATTCCCACACTGGGTTCAGTGCCCAATTCCAGCCTCAGGTTCTGCAGTCCCACCCTCCCAGGCTGCTCTCCTGGGGGAAAGGCTCTCCTCCATTCCCTGTTGTTTGCACTTTTTGGGCTGAAGCTGCAGTGGTGTCCTCGGTTCTGGGCTGGAAAAGGATTGTTCTGTGGGACTGAGCTGTGAGGAGAACTGCTGGCATTCATATGAAGTTCAGAGTTATTCACCAATGCAGTGCAGAGTCTGGAAAACATCAAAGCTAAAATTTCAGGTGTCACCATAACACAGGAATGAGCACAGAGCACCCTAAATGTGGATTTATGTCCTTACACGTGTTGTAGTCACAGTCATGGATCAAACAATTCCAGGTAAAATCCACGCTAGGATGAAATGAGGAGCACATGGGGATCCCCAGAAATGGGAAATGTGAGAGTTAAACAAGGAAACCTGAGAGTTAAACACAGGAGCAGGGCATGCAGTAGGTTTAGTTTGCTGTCATTCCTTCCACTGCTGCAGGGTGGGATTTTTGGGGTGTCAGGGCTGGGATTTATGATCCTGGTGGGTCCCTCCCTCAGGATATTCCAGGATTCCATGCCACTGAACCATTACTCCATGATACAGTTTATCAGAACGTTTTTGCTGAACAAACTAAATGATGTGTATGAAAAATTGTGATCAAGATGGCAACAGAAAGCATCCCTGCTGGTTGATATTTCCCTGTCTCCCTCTGGCTCCCCGTAGCACACTGAAAGGAAAGGTTTGGGCGATGTCAGGGCCACCACAGGTGCTCCCTGTGGGCAAAGCAGGGCTCTGGGGAGTTCCCTGCCCTGGAAAGGAGGATTCTGTGCTGCCCAGCTCTGTCCCAGGCAGGACTGGCGCTGCCTCTGTCGCTGGAGCTCTGCACTCAGAGCTGGCTTTGCAGTGAGGGATTGCTCTGCTCCCCAGCCTGTGTAAAATCCCTGCAATTGCAGGCAGGAAGGGTTCCGTGGGCTGCACAGCCTCTCATCATCCTGAGGAACAGTTGGCTTTACAAAGCGAGATCTGGGAAAAAACCCTCACTTTTGACCTTTAGAACAATGACAATGAATTCGGCGTGAAGTGTCCATCAAGGGACTAGAGGAAAAATTCAGTTGTAGCAGAAAATGGATTTTAACTAAATGTCAAATGAAATTTTATTGGAAGCCCTGGTGATACTTTGGATTAATGGCTTAAAGCATTTGAGTGGCTGCAGAAAGGAGCTGGGGTGATGCTCCTGGAGAGGGAGGAGGAGAAAGGAGAATTACTGCACTCAGGCTGCAGCAGGGGCTGCGGGGAGGCAGAGCATCCTCACGGGCAAAAGGAAGAGGTGGCACCTGGGGACACGGTCACTGCTGGATCCAGGGGCTCAGAGGGGCTTCCCAACCCGAATGGATCTGTGGAAATGCATGCAGGGAGCCAGAAGGGCTTTCAGTGACCCCCTGGTGTGCTCCTTGCTCCAAGCCCCATGCAGCCCCAGCCTGGACACTTCCAGTGCTCTGGGATTCCGTGCCCTGGTGTCCCTGGGAGTCACAGACACTGCTGGGTCTGCAGAGGGAGAGCACAGGCTCCAAAGGGGCCCTGCTCAGCAGTCCTGTCAGATTGGTGATGGGAGCAAGCCCGGGGCTGTGCCCCAGAGGCAGCAGGGTGGTTCCGTGCCATACAGGAACATTCATTCCGAGGCGGCTTCTATGGAAATTAAACCAAACCATTTTTGGGTCAAATTCCTTAACTGTTCTTATCCAGCAGTCACTTTAGCGTGCATTGCACTCCCAGGAGAGCAGCAGCAGCTCCGTGCCAGGGGCACACGGGTACAGGGGGCACCACAGCCCTTCCCAGCACAGCCAGCCTGGCCCCATCCAGCCAGGGATGAGGAGAGGCAGAGCCCAGAGCCCCGTGTGCCCTGGTTGGTATTCTGTCTGCAGCCCTCGCCTCCCTCCCGCCTCAGCTCAGCTGCACTTGCTAATTCCTGCCCGTTCTGCCTGTAATTCCCAGCGGCACTAATGAGGCTCCCAGGCAGGCAGCGCATCTCCCATCCAGCACTAAATTATATTAACCAAGCATATTTAGAATATTCTCAAATTGTTTGTCAAAGCTGCTGCTAAAAGATAAGGAACTGAAATCTCTGAATACAAATTACTCAATGTAGACTAATTCCAGGATATGATCATGATTTACATCAACACAGCCTCGACTCGCATGAGGTCGGATTCAATTTTTCTGAACAAGAGATAAATTGAACCTTTCGTAGGAATAAAAATAAAATGCATTTCAAGGTGATTTTTAAACTTAGTCCGTAAATTATTGGCCTGGAATCTTTATTGTGCATGTTTAACTTGCAGTCATTATGTAAATGCTCGCATTCTATAAATATTCATTACACAGCCCCATTATGTAAATCCAGCAAATCTCCCCACTCAGCGTAACAGCGTTGGGCTGCGGGTTGTAATCTCCAAATCTGTATTGTTGAAATGTCACCCGAATAAATTGCAGGTATTACTTATTTTGTTCTGACATTTCCCAGCAAAGTGCAGCATCGATAGTTTAGGAATGAAGGCAGAATGCTAAAGGATGAGGTTCTGCCGGGGACCCAGCTCCAGCTCCAGCTCTGCCCTGTCCACCCATGCTTGGGCAAAGCTCTGCTGGCAGCAGCAGCCACTGGCACTCAGGAATCTCCTGAGAAACCTTCCTCCTTGCCCAAAATTCAGGTGCCGTGCATCGAAGTTCTTTTCCACTTTGCTTTTGGCAGACGTTTCCCAAGGGGAGCTTCCCCAGCTGGGAAGGCACGGGGTGCTCAGGGGAGGCAGGGACACAGGGGCAGGGGGTGAGGAGAAGGAGGGTCACTGTGGATCCAGCACTGGGATGGAACTCTTCCCTGCGAGGCCCTGAGTGCCCAGAGCAGCTGGGGCTGCCCTGGATCCCTGGCAGTGCCAAGGCCAGTGAGGCCCTGAGTGCCCAGAGCAGCTGTGGCTGCCCTGGATCCCTGGCAGTGCCAAGGCCAGGCTGGACACTGGGACAGTGGAGGTGTCCCTGCCATGGAACCGTGGAGTGAAATGGGATTTAAGATCCCTTCCAACCAGACCATTCCAGGATTCTGGGGTCCCTGGTTACTTCCAGCTTCGTATTTTCCAGTTCTTCCCTGCTCTCCTTCGTTTTTGTCACAGTTTTATCTCCATGACGCCTGGTCAGCAGTTTTCCCAAAGCAGGAGGATGACTGGATGTAGGGAGAGGCCTGCCTTTGGAGGAGCAGGGCTCCAGAGATTGTGGATAAAGGCAGATTTTCCCTAAACTGTGGAATGCAAGGCAGGTCCTTGGCACCTCGGTGTTCATGCTGTCCACCTCTGCAGAACGCTCCTGTTCTGTGAGGGAGAAACAAGGAGGGATTGAGAAAAGCTCCCTAAATCCCGAGCAGCAGAGCCAGCTGGGTGTGAGGCAGCTCCTGCAGAGCCTGGCCCCTGCCTGGAGCCAGCGCCCGTGGCAGAGAGGAGGAGGGCTCTGCTGGAGTGCAAGTGCTTCAAACCTGCACTTCCAGCCTGCAAATCCTCAGCTGGCAGGAATTATTATCGGATTTCCAGGGCTTTGCCTGTGTACAAAGGGCGAGCTCTTCAAACGCTCCCTCTCCTTCTCACAGATGCTTTTAAAGCTGGAACTTTTAGAAAGAAGTTTCTGGCTCGTTTCTTTTTTCCTGCTGACTGCCAGGCAGGGAGCAGATATTGCTGGGGAGGAGGTTGCTGCTGTTCCCCAGCTCCCCACAGCAGAGCAGTTGTGCACCAAGAGGAGCTGCTCTGCCTGCCTCCCCTTCCCCAGAGGGGCTGCTCCACAATCCACCAGCTGTGGGGAGGATCTCAGTGGCAAACTGCACTTTCCTGATCCTTTTCCAGGTTCAGTTAGCGACCTCCTTCCCCAGGCTGCTTCGGCCCAGGGAGCTCAGACCCAGGGGCTGTTTTCTCCTGGCTCAGGAATCCTGGAATGGTTTGGGCTGGGACCTCAGAGCCCACCAGTGCTACCTGTGCCATGGGCAGGGACACCTTCCCCTGTCCCAGGCTGCTCCCAGCCCTGTCCAGCCTGGCCTGGGACACTGCCAGGGATCCAGGGGCAGCCCCAGCTCCTGTGGAAGGCTCCTTTGGAGGAACTCTGGTCGGTTGGAGGCATGGATGAGCAATGTTCCCTGGAAAACACCCAAACCTGCATTCCCTGGGACGTGGGATGGCTCGGGAGGCCTCAGGCTCCTCCACCAGCCCTCCCTGAGAGCAGTGACATTCATGGGGCACTGCTGGTGGCCTGGCTGGGTCGGTCCTTCCCGCAGCTCTCAGGGAGCTGAGGGTTTCTATGAGTATTTGATACGAATTTAATGGCCCGCTGGTTATCCTGGGGGGTTGTTCAGCTGATGAAGGCATGGCTGGTCATTAAATCAATGGTCCCTGGTATCAAACACGGGGATTAATTAACAGTTTAAAGACAGCAGAGCACCCAACGGACACGGCTGGGTGGGATTCCTCCCTTTGCCTTTGGATCAGCAATAAAATCACTCCCAAAACGACCTCCCAAGCCACAGCTCTGCCTGAAAAAGGCCACGTCCTCTGGGCTCAGTTAAGGGAATTTTGGCCTTTTCTTTTTAGCAGGACTTGTAGGTACCAGCCTTGGGAGGTTTGGAATCAGGATTAATGAAGTGACGGCCAGTGCCAGGAGCCATTGCTCTGGGTGAGGTGACATTACCCTGCAGCTGGGGCTTTCTGAGGGACACTCCTCTGAAAGGGCTGTTTTTACCAGAACATTTCAGAAGTCTGAGCATCCCTTCAGGAACAATTACAGGCATTCCTAGAAATCCTCAGGCCTTCTTAAAATCCTTGGAAAATTCTCTTTAAAATACACTTGTCAGGAGAAGAATACTCCAGCTAAGATGGTCAAATAATTGGGGCTTTGTGAAGGAACTGAGGGACAAGAGTGAGATCAAAATCTTAGTGAGACACAAACTAAAACTGCCCAAAAGTGTTGCACAGAAACGAGCAGGATCTTTTCCTTTTTGACAATTTTGTGATAAATGGAAAGCATTTCTCACTTTTCAATAGAAGTAGATGAACTCATTAATAACTCATAGAACGCAATGAAAATGAGAGTTTTAATGCAGGCTGAGCTCATTCCCACAGACATCAGTTCATTTTTACCTGAGAAACGTTGCACTTTTGAATGAGCAGTGTGTGGCTCTCAGGGGATATGTCAGAGCTTCAATTATCAGAGCCAGCCCAACATTTCCCCCTCTTTCCAGAGCCAGCCAAGCCCAGGCTTGTGCAGACACACCAATAATTCACCCCTTGATGGTCACAACATAACAGCTCTGCCGTGTCCCCACTGCCCACTCGGGATTTTTGCCCAGGCTCCCAAAGCCACAGTCATTAACAGCCAATTAAAGCTTTCAGGCTGGGAAAACACTTCCAGCAAGGCTTTTAAACCCTTAGACCTGTAATTTCCAGCACCTGTGGTGGTGGCTGCTGCGGGAGGTTGTGATGCAGCAATCACAGACTGAACTTGTTGGGGTTTGTGATGTGGTGAGCGCCTTGTGAGGAGCCCAGACCCGTTAGCTGGCCATGGAGAGGTTGGGAGCACAGCTGGGAGCACAGCTGGGAGCACAGCTGGGAGCAGGGAGCAGCCCCGGGTGAGGGACACCAAACGCTCCCTGACAGGTGGAACAGGCAGGGGCCGGGATTTGGGGAGCTGGGGAAGCGCCTGGGCCCCGAGTCAGGGGGGGACAAATGTGCTCCTGGCTGGGAGCAGTTCCTGGTGGGCTCCAGCAGAGCTGGGCCAGTGCTCCTGGGACAATTCCCAGTGGGTTCCAGCTGAGCTGGGCCAGTGTTTGGAACAATTCCCAGTTGGTTCCAGCTGAGCTGGGCCAGTGCTCCTGGAACAATTCCCAGTTGGTTCCAGCTGAGCTGGGCCAGTGCTCCTGGAACAATTCCCAGTTGGTTCCAGTTGAGCTGGGCCGGTGTTTCCTGGCTGTGAGCAATTCCCAGTGGGTTCCAGGGCTAATTCCCATCTCTGTCCTGGGAATCACTCAGGGCCTGTCCTTATGCCTGTGTGACACCCAGATCCCATTCCTCTGGGTCCTGGGCCAAGGAGAGCTGTTGGTAGTTGGCTCAGGTGCTCCAGGCGTGGCTTTGGTCCCTGGGCTGGCTCTGGGCTGGCTTTGCTCCATCCTGCAGGGCAGGCTGGGCTCAGCCCTGCTGTAAACCATCAGCACCCAGGGGTGCTGCAGCTTCGAAGGCAGGAACGGTGCAGTGCTGGGCTGGTTTGGGCTGGAGGGCATTTAAAGCTCATCTTGTCCACCCTGCCATGGCAGGGACGCCTTCCCCTCTCCCAGGGTGCTCCAAGGCCTGTCCAGCCCGGCCTGGGACGCTGCCAGGGGCAGCCACAGCTGCTGTTCCGTGGCACCCCTCAGTACAAATTACTCTGGGGTATCTCGGGGCTGTTGATCTTCTCTGTGCAGCTGGGTCAGGAGAGAACCTCTGGCCAGCTCCAGGAGTCTGGGGTGATCCAGCTCCCCTGGGAGCTGGGGTTGCTGCACGGAAGCTGCAGTGCTGAGCGTGTTAAACTCTCTGGCTGCTGTGCAGATGTTGGGTTTCAGGAGTTCTGTGCTCAGCCTGCAGTAATTTCTTCCTGTGGTTATTTCATTTCAGCCAAGCCCTTCGAGAGCGGGCAGTACCTGGACATCTATGGAATTACCAGAGACCAGGCTGGGGAGTACGAGTGCAGTGCAGAAAATGACGTCTCAGTCCCAGACGTGAAGAAAGTAAAAGTCACAGTAAACTGTAAGTGCTGTTATTTGTTGTTCTCTCGGTGTGGTGCAGAAGGAGAGTCTGCAGCAGCAAGCTGGAGCTGCTGGCTTGGTCACAGTGGCTGAGGGAGCTCTGTGGTGGCCACCTGGGTGTCACCAAGCGAGCTCGAGGTGCAGGCTCTCATTTCTGGGTGATGATCTGAGCAGGCTCTGGGGGCTGCTGTGGATGTTGGGCTGAGCCCTCCCTGGTTTCTCTTGTCCTGGTGGTGCTGTAAGTGGTGTGAGGAGATGAGAAGCTCTGCTTGGGCCCTCGGATGGGGCCTGATCTCCATGGGAGTGTGAGCTGCTCCCCAAGGAGGCAGCTGGGTGCTCCTGCTGCAGGCAGAGGGACACTGCTGTGGGACCCTGCTGGGTGCTGGTGACACCAGCAGCTCTGACCTGGTGGGACTTCCACACCAGGGAGGTGCTCTCAGCTTGGGTCTGAGTCTGGTCTAGCACTCAGCGTGATATGAAGTGTTCTTTTTCCCTCCAACCTGTGAGAAAACTCAGGCAAGACAATGTGAATAATTTCTCTGGTTCATTCTAACAGTTTTCTTTGGTTAACCTCAATTACCCAGCGTGTGATTTGTTTCTGGTTTTGGAGTTGCCGTGGCAGCTTTATTGGTCACAAATATGAGATGTCAGTGTTGTGTCTCCCCCAAAGACCTTGTGCCAGCTGACGTGGGCAGCAAAGCCCCTGATCCCCTGTCACTGTGGGGCCCTGCTGTCACCTGGGGCAGTCCCTGCTGCCCAGAGTGTTCCCATTCCCATGGCACCAGGGCTCCTTGGGCACCAGGGGACAATGCAGTGTCTCTTATTTCCATAACAAGCTGGTGAGAGCAAGGCTTCCTCCCCAGAAATCCCATCCTTTTATTTGGTGCCTGTGGACGTGGGTCGGTGTGGCTTTGGCACTGCTGGGGGAAGCTTGGACTTGATGTCTTGGAGGACTTGTCCAACCTAAATGATTCTGTGAGTTCTTTTCCTCTGCTGCTGCTCTCACCCACTCCTGGTGCCATTCCACGGCTGTGGTCCTGGTGCCATTGTGTGACTATTGCTGGTGCCAGTCCATGGCTGCGTTCCTGGTGCCATTCCATGATGGTGCTCCTGGTACCATTCCGTGGCTGTGTTCCTGGTGCTATTCCATTATTGTATTCCTGGTGCCATTCAATATGACTATTCTTGGTGCCATTCCATTATTGTATTCCTAGTGCCATTCCACGCCTGTATTCCGTGGCTGTGCTCCAGGTGCAGGGAGGTGCTGGCACAGGGGTGCTCACAGCCCACAGAGGCTGTTCAGTCACCCAGGCAGGCACACGGAAATGAGCAGTTTAAATGGCTCTGTGGAATTCAAGCTCCTGGGCTGGGCAGCCCTGCACAAACACGGAGCTGCTGGCACAGGGGCCGTGGCTCTAGTGACTGACAGGGGGTTCATTACACTGCTTGATACACCAGCAGCTACATTTTCACTTAATTTATGGCTGTCCTCCCTGATTTCCCTCCGAAAAAGGGTGGCCTGAGAATCTGCCTGACTCCCAAAAGGCTGGGAGGGGTGGCAAAAAAGGAGAGGAGCCATTGGAGCTGCTGGTTGGTGCTGAAGGAATGCTCCACCAAATCAAGTTAAAATAGATAAGACGTAATCCAATTTCATTTCACAAGTAAATCCTATTAGCATTTTCCATTACATTTTGCAAAGCAAATACTGATTTATAGATTATAATATTGAACCCTGCTTTGAATGAACCAGTGTGTGGATTTAATGTGTCATCTGAAAGCTGGTCTGAAGCTCTCCAGGTGCTACTGTCACTTTGCTCCTTCTCTCCTGCTCCATTACTGTCATGCTTGAAAAATATTAAAGGCAGCTGCTAAATCCTAGAATTTCCAGTAGAGCTGAGGCCACAGCGAGAGGATGAGGAATGGGATGTGTGCCTCAGGAAACTGGCATTTATTTGCATTTATTTCAAAGTGTCAGCTGTCTAAATAAATAGGAAATGTGGATTTAAAGTGGAGTGGCATTGCAGAATTCCCTTTTGTTAGGATAATCCATGTTAAGGGTCAGTCTGCCTGTAATTGTACCTTGGACAGCTCTGTTGCAGCTGGAGCTGTCAGACTTGACTGGATCAAGATCTGGTGGCTTTGGGGAGGGAAAATACATTTTTGCACTCGTTCCTGGGTGGTTTTGTCCGATTTTCAGGCCACTTTTTCCATTTCCCTGGATGATTTTGGGGTCCTCACCTCTGGTTTTGTGTCCCTGAGCCCTCCCCAGGCACAGGCCCAGGGCTGGTGCCCGGGGGAGCAGAGGGGAGCAGGGCTTGGCAGGCACCCCGTGCCCCCCTGAGGCACGTGTGAGCTCTGTGCTCTGTGCTGGGGGCTGTGCCCAGCTGGAATGCCCCAGTCCATTCCTGGGGAGCCTGCTGGCCAAGCCCTGCATTTGCTGAATTCAGCCTTCTGACAAGTTTCTGAAGCTCATGAGGCTGATTGTAGTTCCAATCAGTTGGTTCACCCGAGTATTCACTGCATTGTTCTTTCCTTGTCCTGACCTGGGATACAAAACAAAGGCCTGGGCTCACTGAGTTGGTAAAATCTTGTGTTTGGACTGATTCTGCCCCAAAGCTGGCAGATCCCAGAGCTGGAAATGCTCTCAGGAAAAGGCTGACCCATGGGGTGTCCAGTGCAGGGCTCAGGGTTGGACCATGATCCTCATGGATCCCCTCCAGCTCAGCAGGTTCTGTGATTTAACCCTTTCCTTTCATGCATGGGTTCTGTGTCCTTCAGAAAATCATCTCAGTTTTGATTTTGGGGGCTTTACTGCCAACCTTGTTGGGTTTTCCTGTGCCTCTGGAGCCCAGGTCTGTGTGCTGGGAGCAGGTCCCACATTCCCTGGGACCCTGGGTGGACACCCAGCCCTCCCAGGAGCTCTCAGCCAGCCCGGGGGGAGTTTGGGGAATCTGTTCCAAAGGCAGATCCTGTGCCCCTCCCCTGGGATGCCTTGACCAGGGATTTCTCTGGGATGCTTTGATTAGGAATTTCTCTGGGATGCCTTGACCAGGGATTTCTCTGGGATGCCTTGATTAGGAATTTCTCTGGGGTGCCTTGACCAGGGATTTCTCTGGGATGCTTTGATCAGGCATTTCTGGCAGTGGGGTTTTTCTGATGCAGGAATGTGTGAGTTCTCGTTAGGAATTTTAAGTGGGGTGTTTGTTTTCGCTTGGCCAGGCCGGATTGTGGAGAACAGCTCCCCTCATTAGCATTTCTCCCCTCATTAGCATTTCTCCCCTCATTAGCATTTCTTCGAAGGCTCCTCGCTGTTGCTATGGTGCTTTGCATAACATTATGGATAATGCTGCGATTTTACTTTGAAATCAGACATCCTGTACAAGCCACGCCGGCCTAATTAAATCTGTAACCTTAAATCTCCTGGGGAAAAACACTGCAGGGCTTCAGGCCTGCTGGGGCTGCCAGGCCCCTGGACATGGCACTGGGACCCTCTTCCCAGGAAATGTGACCATTCCTGACCTAGGATCAGCATTTCCTTGGCAAGGTCTTGACTTTGGCTTCAAGAAGGAAAATTGCCTCGGTTAAATTATTAAATATGAAGGCAAAGCCCACATATTTTCTGGAGGCCTCAGTCCTCCTCTGCTTTGGCACCAAGTATAAAATTGCTCAGAGCAATTTCATTTTAATTTCCACTTTCCTTTAATAAAAGAGAGGGGAGGAGGGGGCTTCTCTTGAAGCAGAAATCAAGAACTCTGATTCTTTCTGGTTTTAATAGCTCCGATTTGCAGCTCCATCTTTAAGTTTGGGATTTGGGGTTAAGGTCAGCACTGGCTTCAGGAGCCAAGCTCCACTGCCAGGGGTTTTGCTGCTTCCTCAGGTCTCAGGTGGCATTCCAAAGGGGAGTTTGGCTCTGGGTGGCACTGGGGACTCCTGCAGCTCTGACTCCTGGCTCAGGTTTGGTTCTGTCCATGGAGCAGTGGGGCTCAGTGCCCAGGGGGGTCTGCAGGACATGCCCTGCTCTGGGATGTGCGGGTGGTGTTGGGGATGCTGGGCACAGTCTCCAGGCACCAGCCGTGCCCAGGGCAGGGCTCCAGCCTGCCCTGTGTGCCACACAACTTCTGATTTGCTGTGGCAAGGCAGCCGAGGGTTGTCCCCTTTTGTCTGGGGTTCCTTCCCCCAGCTGCTGTGGGCGTGGGGAATGCAGTGTCCTCCCTTCTCTTTCCACCCAGAAACATCTGCAAGAGAGCACAGCTGGAGCTGTGCTGATGTCCTGACCCTGAAACATCTGCAGGGGAGCACAGCTGGAGCTGTGCCGATGTCCTATCCCAGAAACATCTGCAGAGGAGCACAGCTGGAGCTGAGCTGATGTCCTGAGCGGGGACAGTGCTCCTGCTCCCTGACACGTGCTGGGCAGGGGACAGTGGCACCGTGCAGTGCCAGCCTGGTGACACATTGCTGGGGACAGGGGTGGCTCCTGCAGGGCACAGTGGCACTGTGGCCAGCTGGGAGGGCTGGGGCTGTGCAGGTTCTGCCCAGGGGCTGTGGGTTCTGCAGGTTCTGCCCAGGGCTGTGGCTGTGCAGGTTCTCCTCTCAGCCCAGCTCATCTCCTGCTCAATACTAACAGGGCTGTGCAGATGGGATGCTCTGCAGCTGCTCCAGCCCTGAGAAGTCTCACATTTGAGATACTGCTGCAATTAGAGAGGCTGGGGAGGCTGTCAGGGCAGTGATGGAGGGCACACATTTCCTGCAGCACGTCCCACGCAGCTGGGAGCAGGGAATGGCCAGGAGCTGTCTCTGGGGCTGTGGGTTCACAGAGATGCCCACTGGGCTGAGGGGGGTCAGGGGGCAGCACAGCCCTGCTGGAAATTTGGGTTGTGGTTCAAATCAAGGCCAGCAGAGCTGGGTTTGGCTGCAGCTGCCAGTCAAGGGCTGCCAGCAAAACATTTCAGGTGAAACCAATGCAAATAACAGCTCTGGGTTGTTGGTTTTTTACATAAGATA